GGTAAGGATAAGGGTAATGACGTTATTGTAGCGGAGGGTAACGACGGCCTGCCAGACCATTTAAGCGGGTAATGGAGCACCCGAGCCTGGAGACCATTGATCTATTATGATCTTCATATATTTCTAACCCACATTTCGAATACTCGAATGAGGATGTCACATACACAATACCTCTCGTGATTGATTGATTTGAGTGAAACTCACTTCAGGCGCTTATCATGCACGGTTCGGAACCGAATGACATCTTGAAATGCTTTTAGAACAACAATTTAATTCAATCGTTTATCAAAACATAAATTCTATTTGTTCGCAATAAACAGCAATATCCAAGAAACATTAAGGAATTTATAATGATAAATGTTATTATACAATGGAAGAATGCACTGTAATATACTCATTATTTTGAAATTGGCAAGAGAAACACCAAAAGAAACACGTATTGACGATTGCTTCAAATGCACTGTAAAAAGTAATAATCAAAAGCATCATTCACTTAGGAAAAGCGAAATGGATTTTATGTTTTATTGAATAAAGAAGGATCACTTTGAACCATAGAGCAAACAATCAAGTTATAGCTAGAACAAGAAAACAGCTTATTGGCGAGAAGTTTGAAAACTTATCAAACTGAGAAGTGGATTCTTATTGTTAAGAGCTTTTCGATAACATCAAGTAATTTCTGAACATGACATTTCCAATTTCTGAGCAAATTTCATTTCTGAGCAAAAGCTAAACTCCAAATTCGTTGAATTTTATTCAGAATCGTTTTGTCATCCATTTAATTTGCTTTATATCGTCAATTTCTTGTTATGTTTCTATGTGATGTACGTTCGAAACCTTGCCTGTTCTACCGTTACAATGCAAAAAGTCATACCTCTAATTCGCATCTCAGTCAATCGTACAGATCACTTGTTTTCAAAAATCTCGTCAACTTCTCACATATACAATATTCGATTATCTCATATACAATATTCTCGCATCATTCACATCATAACATCCTCACAACATTTCAATATCAATAGTGAAATCAAAAATGAGACAGACCTACATAACGAATTGTTTCATATGAAATCGTTGTTGTTGCTCTTCTAAAGAATTGGAGCCATCTGACGATGCCGATGACGATCCATATGAACTGTTTGGCGACGGTGAAGGCAACATTTCTGATTTAAACTGACCATAACCGAACTGATTGAAATTCCTGGTGAATGCATTTCCGTAGTAAGGACTTGTAGAGTTAGAATGCGGATTACTGTGGAGATTACTGTAGTGATGATAATAGACTCCTTGTTGATGGGTTAGGTGATAAGTTGGTGCGTTGTGAACGCTGTAATCATCATCCAGGTGGATGTTTTGATATGATTGGCACTCAGCGAGTTCCATTTGATCAGCGCATCCCATATAATAGTTCTCTTGAGACGTGCACGGTTCCGACTGGGTTTGCGAGTCTGATTCATATGCTCCGGTGACCGGAGATTGGAGACCACTTGGAATAATAGGTTCGAATGGTTTCTCGCTGTCATTGTTCAAGATCTCCTGAAGATGTTGGATGTAGCGGACAGCTTCTCGCAAGGTTTCCACTTTACTCAGTTTCTTGGTCGACGTCGAATGTGGTACACGATCACGCAGATGAATAAAACCCATGTTCACCTGAAATTTCCTACTTATTATTGAAATGCCGATGAAACACTGCAGACATCAGAAAGGAAACTGTTTATGTGAATATTTCACGTTCTATTGGCATTTCAAAACAAATATTCTGAAGTGAATCATAACAGCGATCCAAAACGCTTGGACTTCGAAATGGTTCATTCTTTCCATTGACTGAAGTTGTTGCAAGCAATTGCTCAAAATGACTACAAGATCAAAATTACTGACGATTTCGTATTGAAAGTGATGACCATTAGTTTCTTATGCGAGAATGCGATTTCGACTCGAATTATCGAAATTCTATCAGAATCACCGCTCAAATACTGTGCTAAATTGTATGAGTCACTTAATGAATCGTATTCGTATGCAATGGAAATTACTCATTCGATGACTTCAAGTTACTATAATATTAATGAGTTGTTGTGTTACAATTCAATTAATTGAAAATGGGACTATGACAGGGAGTGTTCTTCAAAGCTGAATGCAGTTCCAATGAATCATTATCTAACCTGCTGGACTCGTTTCCTTTCGCGTTCGTTTCGTCGCATCACTTGATGAGGGAGTTTGTTAATTAATCCACTTCCCT